TCAACCTCCATGTCGAGAAGCTCCTGCCCGAGGCGATCGAGCGCGGCCTGTCCTTGGTCGACCGCGGCCTGGGTCTCCACGACCTTGGCCTGCAGGGCCTGGAGCTGCAGCTTGTGGTGGTCGCGGCGCTTCTCCAGCTTCGCGTGCTGGAAACTGATCTCCTTGAGGCGTGTGTCCAGGCTCTTGCCCTCCTTGAGCTTGTGCCGAAGGGCTGCTTGCCGTGCGCGGAGCTTGGCCGCTGCCTCGGTGAGCTCCGCGCAGGCTGGCTGTCCGTCCAGAAGGGTGAGGTGCGCCGCGATTGCCGCGAGCTCCTTCTTGGTTTCGCCGTCGCCGTCCACGCCTCCGATGTCCCCTTCTTCGACAGCCATGGCGTCGGCGGGTGCGCCTTGTGTCTGCTGCTTCTTGAGGGCCTCGAGCTCGGCCCGTAGTCTGCGTCTGCCTGCTGGGTCTGCACGCTGCCCCCGCGTGGGCCACCGGCCTGCCCGGGCTGCTGGGCGCGCTGAGATGGCCCCGCAGCTCCGAGCAGGCATTGCCCCGCAAAGGCCGTCCTTTCGGCTGCTGGCACTGGCTGCAGTGGTCGAGGTCAGCGCGATTCCACCACTGCTTGCCCGTCGTCCGATGCCAACAATGCTTGCAGTACCATGGGGCAGCCCACGCGATCCTTCGACGCTCGTGTCCGCTCTGAATGGCCGCCGCGCCCTGCCTGGCAGGTGTCGGCCCCATGAGCCTGCCGTGGCTGGAGAGGGGTGCTACCTGCTTGGCAGACAGGCAGCAAAGGGGAAGGCAGATGTGTGCCTGGCACTGTGCCAGGAAGCAGAGACCTGGTGAGGGCCGCAAGCCCCTCCCGCCAGTATGGTCCAGCTCGCTGGTGGCCCCTGAGCCACGCTGCGGGCTTGAGCGGAAATTGCTACGGATTTGAGGAGGAGGAGGCGGAGGAGGAGGAGTAGGAGGATGGGGAGGAGGAGGACAAGGAGGAGGAGGAGGGGGAGGAGGAGGCGGAGGAGGAGGCGGAGGCGGAGGTGGAGGCAGAGGCGGAGGCGGAGGCGGAGGCGGCGGAGGAGGAGGAGGACGAAGAGGAGGATGGCTATGAGGACTAGTGCCATTCATATTTATAATTTTGTCGGTACTATTCGTAAGAAGAAAACGAATAAACATATGAGTACTCAGCATAATCATGCGGTGACTCCAACGAATATTAAGTATTCATAATCGTACGATGAATTGTACTAATCGAATTATAGTCATACTAGTAAGAGTTTCAACAAAACTAACACCGATATCAAGAGACAGACACATAGTCATACTACTATTCATACTCATACAAAGCGAAGACGAATACTACTCCTGCTACTCAGAACATGGATACCAAAATTACGAATGGTAATGTGACGCAGACAAATGACCATAACACTGATACCATTTAACATCGTAATACTACTAACCATATTAATGATCATACTAAGAATACGACTGGCCCTACTATTCACAATATTTATAATGAAAAGACCAATCTAACTACTACTACTACGGCGCATAAGAATATACATGGTACTAATACTAATTTTACGAATGCGGCCGAGCAGAGTAATACGAACACTACTACGAAGAAGACTAAGCAGACCACGCACACGAAAACCAGTAATACTAATAATACCAATAATACGAGTAATAATACTACTAAGACGGCGAGCCATACTACGAAAAATCGTAATACAAACACTGTCAACACATTAATGGTACTGATATTACGAATCATACTACTACTAAGAATGATGACATTCCTAAACCGATTTGTAGAAGTAGCACTATGACTATTAGTGTTACCCGTAATCTTACTAACACTACTACCCAAACCAATACTATTACTACTACGACTGCCAGTCCGAACAACACTACTGCTACTACTACTACTACTGCTACTACTTGTTTTGGCATTCGTAATACTAACACTAATATTGCTACTACTAATGCTGACACTGGTAACACTACGAATGGCACTACTACTAACACCACTATTAATATTACCAGCAACACGCATGAGTATAACCATGCCAATACTACCACTACTACCATTACGACTAATAATACTATACGACTAATACCATAATGCGTAACATTATTATAGCAATAATAACTAATATACGATTACTACTATACTACTATACGACTATTACTATAGACTACTAATAGAGTGCGAGTATAATATTAATATACGGCTGAAATAGCAATGCCAACATAACCCTCGTACGTTTATAATTACGACTAATACTAATACTATTCATAAAATCAAGGTTGCTACTACTAGTACTACTAATACGACTATTTCGACGTACACGCACACCACTAACACTAGTGCGACCAGTACTAATACCACTACGAATAATGACAACACGAACAATATTAATACACATAATAGAACTACTTCGAGGATGAAGAGGAGGAGGCGGATGATGAGGAGGATGACGACGACGAGGAGGAGGATGAGGAGGAACAAGAGGAGGAGAGGGAGGAGGAGGAGGAGGAGGAGGAGGAGGCGGAGCAGGAGCAGGCGGAGGCGGAGGAGGAGGAGGAGGAGGAGGAGGAGGGAGGAGGAGGAGGGGAGGGGGAGGGGGAGGGGGAGGGGGAGGGAGAGGCGGAGGAGGAGGAGGAGGAGAGGAGGCGGAGGAGGAGGAGGAGGAGGAGGAGGAGGAGGAGAGGAGGAGGAGGAGGAGGAGGAGGAGGAGGAGGAGGCGGAGGCGGAGGCGGAGGAGGAGGAGGAGGAGGGAGGAGGAGGAGGAGAGGAAGAGGGAGGAGGAAGAGGAGGAGGAGGAGGAGGAGGAGGAGGAGACGGAGGAGGATGAGGAGGAGGAGGAGGAGGAGGAGGAGGAGGCGGAGGAGGAGGAGGAGAGGAGGAGGAGGAGGAGGAAGAGGAGGGGGGGGAGGGGGAGGGGAGGAGGAGGCGGAGGAGGAGGAGGAGGAGGAGGAGAGGAAGCGGAGGAGGAGGAGGAGGAGGGGGATGAGGAGGAGGATGAGGAGGAGGAGGAGGAAGAGGAGGAAGATGATGAGGAGGAGCAAGCGGAGGGGGAGGGGGAGGGGGGAGGGAGGAGGAGGAGAAGGAGGAGGAGGATGAGGAGGAGGAGGAGGCGGAGGAGGAGGAGGAGGAGAGAGGAGGAGGAGGAGGAGGAGGAGGAGGAGGAAAAAGAAGACGCAGACGACGAAGAAGACGACGCAGGCGAACACTTATGATCATATTAATAAGACGAAGCAGACGAAGACAAATACTTATACGACGAACACTACGAGTACTAATACTACTAATAAGACGAAGAAGACGAACAGTACGAATAATAATACTACTTAGCAGAATAATAGTACTAATATGACGGAGAGGGAGATTAATAAGACGACCCCGGCGACGAACACGAATACTACCACGACTCAGGATACTACGACTAAGACTACTACTACTACGAAGAAGACGACTACGCATACGAATCCGAACACTAATACGAATAATAATAAGACGACTAACAAGAATGCGAAACCTACTATTAATAAGAATAAGAAGACGACGATTACTATTAATAATAAGACGGACACGAACAATACGAATACTACTGCTACGACTAATACGGCTAATAATAATACGAAGAAAACGAAGACGACGGCGCATACTAAGAACCATAATGCGACGACGAATGATACTACGAATGCTAAGAGTACGGGTAACACTACGAATATTAACTAATACGAATACTACTAATAACACTAATACGAAGAATCAGACTACGAACATTAATAAGACGACTAATAATAACAATAAGACGAATACAACTAAAACTGACACTAACATTACTACGACTACGAATACTACTAAAACTAAGCAGAAGACGAATACGAACACGAGGAGGATGAGGAGGAGGAGGATGAGGAGGAGGGATGAGGACGAGGAAGAGGAAGAGGAGGAGGAGGAGGAGGAGGAGGAGGAGGTGGAGGATGAGGATGATGATGAGGAGGAGGAGGAGGAAGAGGAGGAGGAGGGGATGCGGAGGAGGAGGAGGAGGAGGAGGAGGAGGAGGAGGAGGAGGAGGAGGAGGAGGAGAGGAGGAGGGGAGGAGGAGGAGGAGGAGGAGGAGGAGGAGGAGGAGGAGGAGGAGGAGGAGGAGGAGGAGGAGGAGGAGGAGGAGGAGGAGGAGGAGGAGGAGGAGGAGGAGGGGAGGAGAGGAGGAGGAGGAGGAGGAGGAGGAGGAGGAGGAGAGGGAGGGGGAGGGGGAGGAGGGGGGGGGAGGAGGAGGAGGAAGAGGAGGAGGGACGAGGGACGAGGCCTGGCGCAGCCGTCCGTCGGGACGAACAGCTGGCGGCACGGCTCCTCAGGCGAGGACGTAGAAGGCGTCCACCACGAGCAGCACCTTGGGCCCGCCCCCGAAGTGGGCCAGACGGGCAATCAGCGTAGCCGAGGGCGACGCTCCCGCTCTCCCCTAGGGGGCCAAGCGGGCCGTACAGGTGCTGACGGTCCTCTCAAGGATGCGGAGGACCCAGCACAGGAATAGGTACACGGAGTCGCCATCGATGGATGGGGACGACTTCACTGCACAGAAACCGACGTGGTCAATCACCTCCGTCGTGAATTCGAGCCAGTCGCAGCACGAACGGCACGGCCTGAACCACACCCTGGATCAGCGCGTGGTACTTGCCTCGCAAACTCAACAGGTAGTGGGGCAGCCGATCCGTCTCCATCATGTTGGACGGCCTGGCCTGAACCACTCCCTGGAGTAGCGCGTGGTACTTGCCCCGCAAGACCTGCAGGCAGTCCAGCATCCGCTCCGTCACGTGCATCAGCGATTGGCGCCTGCAGCGTAATTGAAACATTACCCTTAGGGTGTAGGCCTCGAAGGAGCCGCTTTCTCCTCGGCTTGCTGTTGGAGGGGTAGGTCGTCACTTTTCCCTTCCCCCGTGGGCGCTCCTCCGCACATGGTCATCAGCTGCTTGGAAACGCCGCCGCCAGACCATGTCACGCACACCTCGCAGAAAACAGTGGGCCCCGCTCGACGGAGACGATGCCCGTTGCAGACGTGCACGTCGGTGGAGTGCCATTCGGAGACCAGCAGCTCGACAGCACGATCGACGCCAGGCCTGGTCTCTGACCCTTGGCTCCCCGCCCTGCGCTCCTGGTCCTCGGCCCCCTCCAGTGACCCTCGACCTCCAGCGTTCGGCTCCCAGCCTTCGGCCTCTGACCCTCGCCCAGCCCTGCCAAGAGCGTCCATGGCAAAAGCACCAGCAGCAGAGACCTGGACACACGTGGCACCACAGAACTGGATCATGGCCTCCGTTCGCAGCTCGTCCACTCTGTTGACCATACACGGTGCTCGAAGGTAGAAGTTCCACGCATCCGTTGAACCCGAACTGGTACGTCTCGCACAGCGCCTGCAAACAACGGAGCCATCGCGTAGCTTGGCAACGGCGTGGGAAGTGACCTGCACGGGCAGCTGCTTGCCATCTTTGGGACGCCACGGTGCGTCAGACACCGCTGGCTCCCATTTGCCCGCCTTCAGGGTGCGCTGCATCGCCCAGCCGATGTACGAGGAAACCTTCTTAGCGAACACGATCTCCGCCTTGTAGATGACCTCGTAGACCTTAGGCGGTGCGTGTGAATCGGCACCGCGCCTGGCAAACCAGTCGGCCCACAGATTGCCAAGAAAATGTACTGGGCTGAGACCGCGCTCGATGTAGTCGTCGATGCAGCGGTGGGCAGGGATCCAATGAACCTACGGCCGCCGTACTTGGGCACGGAGAGAGCGCCAGACCGTCGCATGAGCAGCAGCCGCTCCCTCAAGTTCTGGACCCCACGATGCCGCCTCCGACTCCAGCGCCAGCAAATCCGTGAGCACGACCTCCAGCTTGGTCCCGAAGTGCCGCACAGCCATGAGGAGCGCGAACCTCTCCGACCTGCCGACCGTCTGCAAGGGCCCCGGCAAGGGCCCGTACACCGCACGTAGCGGCCAGCCCTGCGCCGCCATCTGCGCAGCTGCCCACCCGCACCGTCGTATTTCTGGTATAGCCGACGCTAACCCAGAGCCGTCGGTGTAGACGACGTTGCCGAACTGCAGCTCCTCGGTGTTCCAGTCACCCCAGAAGTACGTCGGCAGGCCCGTGGTGACCTTTGGGAGGGGCGGCGGCGCACAAGGAAGGCAAACCCCCACCTCGAACTCGCCGAACGAAATCTGCAGCCCCTTGCCATGCATGAAGTCACGGATCTCCACGAACTTGTCGGGCACCCCCTCTCCTGCGACCTCGGTGTCGTCCGCTGGGGCCAGCACCTCGCAACCGAAAAACATGTGTCCAGGGGAATCGCTCGGCGCTCCACGCGCCAAGCAAGCCGCCGAGCCTGCCAGCTTCATGTCGTACTTGGCCTGCCTGGCCCAGGGAACACCAGCCCAGTGTGCACGCAAGCTGGATGCCGTCGGGCCTTCTGAGGCCGCCGCCGACTTGGCACCGCGACACTGACGTAGGCCCCAACCCACAGCTCCGCGTTCTCGCCCAACGGATGCTCGAAACGCGACATGATACGACGCCCTTGCCATCGCTCGATCGCCTCGACCACGTGATATCTAAGATCTCGAGGACTGATGGCCATGAGGTTGAACTTCTCGTCCCTGTCGTTGACCAGGGCCGTCGACGAGTACATGTGCCAATTTATGCGCCACAAGGTGAGGATAGTCGCCGAAATCGGACCTCTCGCATAGGTCCACGTCGCCTTGTCTTGCCTCACCATCTGGGTGGTGATATGCGCCCAGGCATTGTGCAGCTTGCTCAGCGACGTCCTCTGCTCCCAAACGGTGGCGGCGTATCTGCAGATGATGTCGCACGAGGCCATATAGATCGGGTCGAACTCTTTTGCCTTCTGCGTCGCCAGGTACAGCGCGAGGCTAGAAGAGCCAGAACGCGCTCCGACGAGGCGGCCTGCGTCAGCACGAATCTGCTGGAGGTGTTTGTCCGAAAGGTCAGCCACGCCAGCGCCGTGGCCCGCGCTGGGAAGAAGTCCAGTTTTCCACAAGCCTACCACCTTTTTGCCCGTGACCTTCTGGAGCATCTGCAACCGACGGCGGCGAGCAAAGGTCCCAGCAAGCCGCTGCGAAGTAAGCCGTCTAACCTTGCGCGCTCCACATAGGTCGTGCCCAAGGTTGCGAATCCAGTTCTTGCATTTGAGTCCCTTAGCGCCGCCATACTTCTTGCACGCCAAAGCCACAGAAGCACAGGGAGGAACATAGCCCGACTTCTCGACCTGAATGATGATGCCCAGGCTTTTGGCTCCCTCCCGAAAGCGTGTGGCGACCTTTCGCAAATGCTCCAACTGCTGGAGAGAAGGCGCAATCCACTGCAGGCTGATGTCGTCGTTCAGGGCCCGAGGTATGACTGACGAAGACCGAACGCCAGCCAGCAGCCTGTAGAGCAGCACCGGCACCAGAAAGCACGCGTGAGAGCAACCAGCCAATATGCCCTGCCACGCGATGAACTGTTCTGACGCTGACCCAAACGCTCGCAACCGACGCGGTTGCCGATGCAACTCGAGCAGCATCCACACCAGTCTGAGGTCCATATCAACGGCCCTCGCCTCGTTGGGCAACGCCAAAGGCTTGATCGTCTCAAAAAACTTAACGCATCCATGGGGACAGCGAGGGGCTTCAGCTGGGTGGCCTCAGCGATCTCGGCTTCCAAGTCAAGCTGGAAGGCAGAGTCTGAAGATGTGCTCCCCGAGCCCAGCCCCCATACATCAGCACTGGGATGCGCAACCACCCAGCTGCGGGACACAGGAGCCCTTACTCGAGCCCAAATACGGATCATGCTGTCCATGAGCGTGATGAGTCTGCAACCCCCACTAGGCTTCGGAAGCCTCACCATCTCGTGCCAAACTCGCGCATCAGGCCAGGCGAGGAGACCTTCGCACCGTTCGAACAACGCCGCAATAACATACAGACATTCGTCTGACAGCATGAGGAAAGCGCGCGCTCCAATCCTGCCAGGACCTGATGCCGTGGACGTCGAAAAAGAAGAAATAGCCTGCTTCATCATGCTGACGGTGATGGCAGGGAGAGCAGGCCACTGGGCAGCATCCCCTGGAAGCTCCAGCTGTTGCAAATCGTGACAGCCCCATATTTTAGCCCATGGAACCATCTCGCGATCACAAACTCGGTGAGGGGAAGCGGTATTGTTGCGATCATCCCAACTGGCCAGCACCGACTGCAGCTCCTTGGTCTTGGTGATGCGATGCGCCCTGCTAGCCCCCCGCACGAAACTGCCCTTCGCGAAGCTGACGCACGCGGCCTGCTTGACCTCTTCCAGCTTGTCGTGCCGCTTCTTGCAGCGCTCGACAATTTTGCCGGCCACATCCTCAAAGTCGTCCCTGCTGAGCACGCAGATGCCACCTCTGAAAAAGGCCTGCTCTTCGCTGGTCAGGTGGGAGAGAATTGTAGTGTGCGAACATTTCTTAGCCAAGTAAGCCTTCGCTTCCAGCAAGAAAGCCGCAACCTTACTGAAACTCCGCGGTGCCAACGCACATGTGAGTTCAGGTTTGTGTAGGAGAAGTAGCGCTTTCTGAATGTATGCGCGAACCCCCATGAGATGTCGAGCCCGCCTGGCCGCAACCTTTATAGCCTGCGCTTCTCTTCCAAGTCGTACTCTGCGAGCAGGTGGAACCCACTTGACCGACTTGAGCGTGGTCTCGATCTCGCCAGCACGTCCTGTGTGAAGTCGCCTGCGAGCGCCCACGATATCATATCTGTCCAACAGCTCCGACTCCACCGTGGTTAGGACCTTGTCCCAAGCAGGAAGCAAGCCCTGCGAGTCAGCAGCAGCACGGACAGCTGCAAGCGCAGGGCCCCAATCCTCGACCCCTCGAGCACATCCAACAGGAGGTACAGCGGGAATGGCGAACGGCATGACAGGCACCCGAATCTTGAGGTCGAGGTCGTCGGTTGCCAGCTCTAGATGCACCGGAAGATGTGGAGATGTGGTCCCGTCCTCTTGCACCCAAGGTTCCCGCGCACGAGGCGCCAGGTTGGCGCTCTTCATGAAGTAGTCGATGGTGGACCCCTTCTCGACCTGCGAAGGTCGACGCGTCGTAGCTCGAGGCACCGCAAAGAGAGCCTCGATGTCGGCAAGGCTGGAGTCCTCCAGCTTCTCCATTCCCATTTTGAAGTCGCCGCGCGCGATGTAATCCATCTGCGCCGCCTCCAGCTTCGCCAAATAGCTGGCCAACGTCCACAAAATGCGCTTGTTCTGATCGTCGAGCCCCACGGAGTCGACCAAGTACAGAGACAGGATGACCAAGCCTCCTCGCGCACCCCAGTGGACGTGCGCCGCTACGAGTCGCCCAGGATAGAGAACTGGGTCCTTGGTGAACGGCGGCTCGGTTATGGTTATCGACGTCCGCGCCAATATCGCCACTCCCGCCGGCGTGCCTGCTTCTGACGTACCGCTGGGCACCGCAGGCGCCCATATGCCAGAAAAACCAACATCTGCGACCTCGCCCTGGAAGCTCGCCAGCTTATCGATGTCCTGGATGTGATGCTCTTGCATGGCAGTGACCATTGTCTTGGGAGGAATAGCCTCCAGACAAGCAGCATCCGAGCCCCAGGACGTGATATTAGTAGGCACAATGTTACCTTTCGCCATGGTGCTGCGCAAGATAATGATAAACAGCAACGTCCAGGAAGAGGTGGAGTTAGAACGGCTTGTACCCGCCCTGCGCCAACCTCCTGACCCGCTCGCGCAACTCTGCCTCCGTGGCGTAGGCCCCGAAGCCCTCCATGGTCTTCTGCAGCTCAGGGAATTCGACAGCATCGGGGTCCCACTGGGCAGCAGGAGCGGCTGCCTCAGGAACAGCGGCAGGTGCAGCTCCCACTTCAGCCCCTTGGGGACGAGGTCTTTTGGAGACGATGAGCTCATTGGAGGGGGGAGGGAGGAGGGGGGAGGGAGGAGGGAGGAGGGAGGAGGGGGGAGGAGAGGGGGGAGGAGGAGAATTTTTTGATGTTTTGATTTGCGCGCGGGTGATCGTCTGCCGAACACTCCTGCCCGCGGCGCCGAAACGACGAGCGAGGGGCCCGAAGAAGGGCCGAAAGAAGCGAGGGACGGACCAGGACCCGAACAGAGCCGAGCGAGGGACCGACCCGAGCAAAAAGGGACAACGAAAACACGAGGGCCCGAGACACGCGATGCTGGCAAGACTGGTGAAACAATTTGAAGCCCGCGTCCTGGTTCCTGGGCTTCCAGCCTCAAACTGCCAGGCAGCACATTATACAACAGACCAGCAAGGCGGCGGAGAGCCCTTTCCTCTCTTCGCGAGCCTGGGCTGGGGGGGGGCAAAAGGAGCACAAAAAGGATGAGTGGGCGCAGGCGGAACGGGTGCCTGCTTCTCAGCGCCTCTGTGCCCACTCATCCTAAGCCTAGCCTATGTCCGACTGTCCGACTGTAGGGAGAAATCATAGACAGAGAGGCTGCGCAGAAAACCCCAAGCGGCGGGCGGGCAAGAGTCTTCTCTCTTTGCGAGCCTGGCCAGGGGAGGAATGACAAGAGCACAGAAGTGATAAGTGGGCGCAGGCGGAACGGGTGCCTGCTTCTCGGCGCCTCTGTACCCACTTATCCCAAGCCTATCCTACACTTCAACTGTCCGACTGTCCGACTGTAGAGAGAAGGAAGCACAGACAGAGAGGCGTGCACAGCTATCCCCGCGCGGCGGGCAGGCAAGAGTCTTCTCTTTGCGAGCCTGGTCAGGGGAGGAATGACAAAAACACAGACGGGATAAGTGGGCGCAGGCGGAACGGGTGCCTGCTTCTCAGCGCATCTGTACCCACTTATCCCAAGCCTACCCTACTTCCTGGAGACTGCCCTCTGTGGCGGCCAGGAAGGGGAGTACTGCAGAACGACACTTCTGGCGGCTGGTGTCGGGGATCCGAGTAGTCCTGTCAGCATCAGACAGACGAGACAGACCAGATATCCCTAGGCGTGCCCGTGCGGCTCGGTGGGCAGCACACGCACCAGAACCGTTACATCCACCCCACCTCCGAAATATACACGAGAAAACTACGGGGCCTCTAGAAGCCATGCAGGATCAAACGATGCCTGAAAATTAAAGACATCGTGAGGGGCAGGGAAGGCATATATAACGTTGACATTGTCAACCGCAGTGGCCTCACCGACTGGTTGACCAGTGCAAGGGGTCGCGACCATCACACATGCGTCGTAGCCGTGAGATGGTGCCAGAGGCCCGAGGGGGCCCAGTGCATACTTTAGTTAAATCAATTGCTTTCTTGGACGAGTAGCGGCCGCATCGTCGACAAAATATGATATTATTTAGCCGCCTGAGCACGTGCCCACCGCCAGTGGGAGAAGAACGCTGTGTGCGCAATAAATAACTCTTGGAAACTGAACCAGCCCAACAATTCAAGCACCGAAACCGACCCGCCGAGGGGTCCCAGAAGTGCTCATGCAATGCCCCAGAGGAGGCGCCAGAGAGGACTAGGGATGGGGGCGTGGGGGCGGGGGACTCATCAGAATCCACCACCCAAACCTTTTTGGGCACGTTCTTGAAAATCCATGCTATACAATGCCCGATATACACACCAAGATTGCGCACAAGCAATCCAGAGCGCTTGACACGGTCGTGCAGTACCGTGTCCAGTGTGTGTAGGTCAGCACCTAGGTTAGCAAGTCTGCCCGCTTGCTTATTACCAGCAGAGGTAGAATGGCCACGAACCTTGGTGACCTTAATTAAATGATACCCAATATCTGAAGCCGCGCGGTGGACACGGACCCACAAGGATGCGTGAGTGGCCCATCCGTGCGTGGTAGCTTCATACCCCAATGCCCATCCGTCCACAACGTACTGGGCATCAGTGACAAACTCATAGCAGTCAGAGGGGGCAGCATGGGTTAGGTACAATAAAAAGCATAAAGCTCAGCCCCTGAGACATCCTGGGTGAGAAAGGGATATACGCCATATGCACCAGCATTAAGCCGAAACCGATCATTGGCGATGGCCTCTCCGAAAACATTGCGACTACGCGGGGCAAATGAGCATACACCCCATCCACAGCGGAGAGTGAGCGGCGAGGGGCTATGCTTTCCCGAGCCGTCTCCAAACGCGGGCGACGAGAAGAAGGGGCCGTCTGTGGCTCCTTCCCAGACAGGGTCTGGAAAAGGTGGTGCGAGCAGGGAGCAATAGCGAGGGTCGGGGACCAAGGCAGTGGTCCAGACAGGGTTCTCGCGGCACTGCTCTATGCAACGGGTGAGGGCTGGAGCCGGGCCGAACCAACGACGAAACTCCACAAGCCCATCACACTCATACAGGGTGTGAAACACGGGGTCAGAGGGGGCGACCTGGCAAATGGGGCACACAGGTTTAAAGTAAATGCCCCCAGATAAAAAGGTCCCCAAAGCACGTTGCTGGAGGACACCCCATCCTTCAGTCTTTTTAGACAAAAGGGAAATAAGAGGGGGAAGAAAGGGGGGGCAAGACAGGTGACTGAAGGATTGGGTGACGCCCAGAGGCCTGTTTCCAGGACCAGACAGGCGCGTCGCGAATCACTAGTGCCACCACTTCACGAGGGGAAGTAGACGAAATAGCAACGTCGGTTCCAAGAGAAGTACGCCATATTGTGGGCGAAACCGCAGACCACCCAATTCTACGCATAGTGGCAACCAAAATTTGTCCTGGGCCCTGCAATTCAGTCCACGGGGTATCTGGCGTCACCTTGGCGTAGGCAAACTGGAAAACTTGACCTATCATTCCGTCAGGAAGAAGAGAGTCCCATCTAGAGACAGTCCAGAGACGAATAACCTCAGCATGAGCATCGATAACAGGATCGGTAACACCACGCAACGCCAAATCCATCGTGACAGACCTACGCTTACCTGTGCCGAGACCAGCGTGGTATATAGCACGGACCTGACGAATCTGGTGAGTAGATAGACCGACGACGTCAATGCCGTACATGACAGGAGGAGGAGGAGGAGGAGGAGGAGGAGGAGGAGGAGGAGGAGGAGGAG